AGACTAAACAGTCCCAGTTCCCTCAGCCGCTCCTCATCAGACTTGTTCTCCAGACCCCTCACCAGCCTCGTTGCCCTTCTCTGGACACGCTCCAGCACCTCAATGTCCTTCTTGTAGTGAGGGGCCCAAAACTGAACACAGTATTCGAGGTGCGGCCTCACCAGGGCCGAGTACAGGGGCACGATCACTTCCCTACTCCTGCTGGCCACACTATTTCTGATACAGGCCAGGATGCCACTGGCCTTCTTGGCCGCCTGGGCACACTGCCGGCTCATGTTCAGCCTGTTGTCAACCAGCACCCCCAGGTCCTTTTCCGACAGGCAGCTTTCCAGCCACTCTTCCCCAAGCCTGTAGCGCTGCATGGGGTTGTTGTGGCCGAAGTGCAGGACCCGGCACTTGGCCTTGTTGAACCTCATACAGTTGGCCTGGGCCCATCGATCCAGCCTGTCCAGGTCCCTCTGCAGAGCCTTCCTACCTGCTATCCACTTCTCCTTGTTGAACCCCATGAGGTTCTTGCTGGCCCACCTCCCCAGCCTGTTGAGGTCCCTCTGGACGGCAGCGTGACCTTCTGGCACATCAACCACTCCTCCCGGTTGGGTGTCATCTACAAACCCTCTGAGGGGGGGCTCTTGCCCCATCATCTCGATCATTAATGAAGGTGGGGAATGGTTCTGGCCCCGGTATGGACCTCTGGGGAACACCACCAGCAACCAGCCTCCATCTGGACCTTGTGCTGCTGATGACCACCCTCTGGGCCTGGCCGTTGAGCCCATTTTCAGTCCATGCTGGTGGCTCCTGACCATCTTCTTGTTGGGTACAACCCCTGGTGGGCTTTGGCTTCCTCAAACCCAGCTCTGCGCCTCGAGCAGTGTCTGTATCTTCCTCCCGCGTCACTTGTCCCTGCTTCCACCTCTTGTACACGTCCCTCTTGTCCTTGAGCTCAGTCAGGAGCTCCTTGCTCGTCCGTGCAGACCTCCGGCCACCTCTCTTCATCTCCTGCCTGTCAGGATGGCCCGTTGTTTGGCTTGGAGAAGACGACCCTTGGAAATCAACCAGCTCTCCTGGACCCCCCTTCTCTCCAGGGCTGTATCCCATGGGATTCTTCCAAGCAGGTTCCCGAAGAGGCTGAATTCTGCTCTCTGGAAGTGTCCAGGGCGGTGATCCCGCTTTCTGCCCAGCTCCCTCCTCTCAGGATCTTGAGCTCCACCATCCCATGGTCGCTGCAGCCAAGGCTGCCCCTGACCTTCTCACCTCCAACCAGCTCGTCCTTGTTTGTAAGCGGGAGGGCCGGTGGAGCACCTCTCCTCCTTGGCTCCTCAGTTGCCTGGCTCAGGAAGCCATCCCCCAGGCAGCCCCCGGAGCGGTGCGTCCAGTTCTGGTCCCCGCAAGTCAAGAAGGACGCAGGCAGACTGAAGAGGGTCCCGAGGAGGGCCGGGACGATGGTCAAAGGGCTGGAGAACCTGCCCTAGGAGGAAAGACTGAAGGAGTTGGGTCTCTTCTCCTTGGAGAGGAGAAGGCTCGGGGGGGGACGGACCTCATCGCAGTGGTCCGGTACTCAAAGGGTGGAGGCTGTCTCTTCACAAGGAGCCACGTGGAGAGGACAAGGGGCAACGGGTGCAAGTTGCACCGGGAGAGGTTTCACCTCAACTCGGGTTGTACAGTGAGACCAGTTGTTCACTGGAAGTACGTCCCTGGGGACACGGTGGAGTCCCCATCGCTGGAGGTTCTCGAGATGAACCTGGATGGGGACTGAGATAATCCCATCTAGGGGCCCTTCTCCTCGGAAGGTTGGACCCGGTTGGACCTGGATCTTTCCACGGCCAACCTGGGCTCTCCTCCGGGTCTGTGATTGACAGCGTCCGTCCCTGGGGACTTCCCAGACACGCCACCCACCAGCTCTGACCCGGGCGCGCTTGTCCCTGCTTGATTTACAAGCCGCTGGGAGAACGTACTTGACGGCCTTCGCTGACCAGGAGCTCTGAACCTGTTGGGTGGCTTTGGGCTTCCCCTCGCTGCGCGTGGTGGTGCAGACGGGGGTTGAACGGAGGGTCATCTTCTGGGCAGGGTTCCTCGACGTCCTCCTGGAGGTTCCTGCTTGGCCTCGGAGAGGGCGAACGCTCCCGGGGCTGGTGTTTGGTCAAACCCAGCTTGTTTGCCGTGAGGGACAGATGGCTTCGCCGCTCCGCCCAGCCATAAAATGCCCCGGGGGCTGGAAAGCCCCGGCCGTGGGGCAGGGTGGGTCCTTCGTCCAGCCCCGTGGGAGAACGGGGGCGAGAAACCCAACGGGGTGTCACCCCGTGTCCCCGTCAAACCCGGGTCGGCTCTTTGGTGGTCGCCTTGAGGTGCGCCTTGCCCCAACGCAGTGGCTCATGGTACCCGGGGCCAGCGCCCTCCGTGGCCACGTTGTGACTCGATATCGTCCCTGTCCTCGCTGTCACCCTCCCCGGGCACGCGGTGCCCTCCCGTGGGGACCCCCGTGGCAGGGAGACCCCAAACCCTGTGGCCTCCCTTCTGCTGAGCCCCGGAGGTGGCCGGCAGCACCCGTCCCCGGGTCTGGGACAGCTGCTCCGGTGGCCCTGGGGACCAAAGGGGGACGGACTCGGCTCCCAGCCAGATTCAGCCCACCGGGAATTTCCCCGGGGGGCGCAGGGGGAAGCGTCAACCCGCGGGAACGCCCATGACGGCGCTGCCGGCGCGTCCAGGGCAGCTCCCATAAAAGGCCTCCCCCGGCACGGCGGGGGGCGGGGGGCGGGAGGGGGGCGGGGCCGG